AAAAAATAGAAAAACTAGCTGGGCATGGTGGCTTGCACCTCTAGTCCCAGCTACTCAGGAAACTGAGGCAAGAGGATCACTTGAGACCAAGAGTTTGAGGTTGCAGTGAGCTATGATGACACTACTGCACTATAGCCCAGGCAACATAGTGAGACTCTGTTTAAAAAAAAAAAAAATTAAATCATGTCACTCTACTGCTCATAATTCTCCAGGGGCTTTCTATCTAGTTCAAATAAGCCTTACAATGACCTACAAAGATTACAGAATCTATTCCTTCCCTATCCCAACTTCCATTTTTAAAGTGTTGGAACATACATATCACCTATGTCTATGTCACTCTCTGCTCATCCTTGCTACTGCCCAAATAAACCAGTTATTCTCCCACTTTAGCAGAAGACTGCCTCACTTTCACATGATTGTCCATAAGGATAGTGGTCTTTGTTTTACTCAATGACACGTCCCAAGCATCAGAAAGTATATGACATACAGCAGGCACTCAGTATATGTTGTTTTAATTGAATTGAATAAAACAGAAGACCTAGAATAAATGTCCTGGCCAAAACCTAACTATCACTGGAAAGAATGGGGGAAAAAAAGGAAGAAAGGAAAGAACAGAGAAGGAAGTCCACAAATTGGCAAAGAAAGATCTCTCCATCTTTCACTTGTAAACGACAAATTACAGTGCTGTCTTCTTGAAACCCTACTCCCTTAACCTAAGAGTTACATGTTTAGAGAGATGACACTGGTCTGGGCAATGATTTCTTGGATAGGAGTCCAAAAGTACAGGCGATGAAAGCAAAAGTAGACAACTAGCATTGCTTCAAATTAAAAAGCTGCTTGGCAAAGAAGACATTAACAGAGTAAAGAGACAGCCCATAGACTGGAAGAAAATATCATACATCTGATAAGAAGCTATTATATAAAATATATAAGGAAATCAAACAACTCAATAACAAGAAAATAAATAACTTAATTTAAAAGTGGGCAAAGCATCTAAACAGATGTTTCACAAAAGAAGAGATACCAATAGCCAACAGATATACAAAGAAATGCTATTCATCGGGGAAATGCAAATTAAAACTATAATGAGGTATCGCCTCACACCTATTAGAATGGATATCATCAAAAAGACAAATAATAAGTGTTGGAGAGGATGTAGAGAAAAGGGAATCCTTTATATCACTGGTAGGAATGTAAATAAGCATAGTCATTTTGGAAAACAGTATGGAGGTTCCTCAAAAAACTAAAAATAGAACTACCATATGATCCAGCAATCCCAGTACTGGGTATATATCCAAAGAAACTAAAATCAGTATGTCCAAGAGATATCTGCGCTTCCATGTTCATTTCAGCATTATTCATAATAACCAAGATACAGAAGCAACTTAATTGTCTATCAAGGGGTGAATGGATTTTTTTTTAATGTGGTATATATACACAATAGAATACTATACAGTCTTAAAATAGAACAAAATCTTTTGCAGCATATCTTTTACAGCAACATGGATAGAACTGAAGGACATTATGCTAAGTGAAATAAGCCAGGTACAGAAAGACAAATACTATATGATCTCACTTACATGTGGAATCTAAAAAAGTTGATCTCACAGAAACAGAGAATAGAAATGTGGTTTACCAGAGGCTAGGGAAAGTAGAGATGTTGATCAAGGAGTACAAAGTTCCATTTAGGCAGGAGGAATAAGTTTTAGTGATCTATTGTACTGCATGGTGACCACAGCTAATAATAATGCATTGTGTATTTCAAAATTGCTAAAATAGATTTTTTAACATTCTCACCACAAAAAAATAAGTTGGCGAGGTAAAAGATATGTTAAGTAAGTAGCTCAACTGAATCTTTCTGCAAGGTATATATATATATATATCAAAACATTATATTGTACTCCATAAGTATACATAATAATTTCTAAATTAAAATAAATAAAAGAAAATAAATTAATAAAAGGAATCATCTCCCTGCCTAGTAACCTTGAGCCAATCACTTAATCTTTTAGTGCTTCCATTTTTATGATATTGGGATCTTTTTCATTACTTATCTGTTATACAAGAATATAAGGATTAATGGGATTGCTTTCAAAGTGTTCTGGGAATTCTTTTTCAAATCTTATATAAATGGCATAACTATGTCAACAAGTAATCAGAACATGTACATTTGTATTTTAGTTTCAGTTCAGTTCAAAAATATTTAAGAAACCAATATGGCTTGGAAATATGTTGTAGGTGATAAAAAAAAAAAAAAAGGTTAATTAGATATGAACCCCAAAGTAATCCTTTCATTTACTTTGAATTACTTTCTTAAAAAGTAATTTTTTCTAAAAAATAAAAAGAAACGTACTTCTCTTATATGCATATCTTTATACACAGGAACATATCTTATGTAAAACATTAATCATGCTTTGTAATAATTTTTTAATTTCATCATGAAAAAGCTAACAACTCTTTCACAAAAAAGAATGTCTAATAGTCAAATATTGAAAAAATATTGTAGTTTTTTAATACTCATCTAAATGCTTTTCAATCAGCATGCCAAAAATTCTGCAACATCAATGCATGCTTCATGTATCTTATTTTACAACAAGGAAATATTTTAAAAGCAGAATAAAATTGCTAGATTTCATCTTAGCAATAATTTAGTCATGACATAATGAACATTTAATAAAGAAGCTTGATCAATAAAAATATGCACATAATTTTAATTAGGAAATATATAACCTCAATTTATTGATTATTATGAACCCCTTTATTGCATTTTCACAAGCTTCAGATTTGAAAGTTTTAAATTTGTTTTAAATAATTTGATTAACTCATTCATGCTAGACATTTTATAGTTCTTTTGTTAAGTCCAAAATTTTCCCTTGTAAAACCATCTGAAAGAAAAGAAAACTTTAAAAGTATACCATATACTATTTTAGAGTCTAGTATAAAGAAAACTAAATAATGGAAATAAAAGTAAGTAATAATCCACAACTAGTTTTTAGCAAATAACCCATTCACTTATGTGATTAAAGTAACTCTTCTAAGAAAGTAAGTACCAATTAGTAACCCACTAGCAATTCTAGTGAGCAATGCTCTACAAAAGTTCACTAAATACATGAATAGGTACTACCAGAGAAGATATTTCCCTCTCATATAAAAATTATATATTTAGGTAACATTTTTAAAAATCAGAAAAAATAGAGTCTAAAAATCTTATTACCTGAAAACCAAAATATATTTAAAATTATAATAAAAGTTTGCAACTACTTGAGTTCTTACCAATATTTTACCCAAAACTGCAGTTTGTGCTCAATTTTAATATATGACATTACACAAAAAGGTCATTTGTCTACCCTAAAGCTACAGTTATACATATAAGTACAATTATCTACTTGCCTATCTCAATAAAACTGAAATCTAATTCTAATGATATTTAGTTTAACTTTTCCTAAGAAAGTGATGTCTACGCATGCTTTCAGCTACACACCAAGTAGCTCAAAAGTATCAACAAGACAATTCATCAGCCTGAAAAATCAACTATCTAAATTTCATTATTAAAAATTAAGAGGACTTTGTAAGGAATGATGTTCATGCTACATGAATATAAAAATTATAAGAAAACCATACGATCAGGAATCAACAACCCTACTGTATACTAAGGGTAACAGAGTAGACCTTTGTGCTTAACAAACAGTGTTCCTTTTAATGGTCTTGGCTCCAAAATTTTGAATAATCCCTTTCCTCCTACATCTTATTGTTAAACACAATGCTCCTTTCTTCCATTATTAAGTGGTTATTTCCCATTTCTTAGGTCATTCTCACAGAATCTGTGTTTCAAATGTTTCATGGTCCACACAATAACAGTGTGCAGCATTGAGAGTAAGGAAAAGCCAAATCATTTTTGGGGGGTTCGAAATTCACACTAAATTTAACTGATTATCAAATACTCTAATCTACAAGGCCACTCTAGCTTTGCATTTCTGTGATTCTAACCACATATTAGTTCAATATCCATTAGTAATTCACTGATTTTTTAAAAGTTCAGTATTGACTCTGCATTAAGTTTGGACAGGATTATTCTCAGAGCTTTATAATGTACATATGAAAAGACTGCAGACACTGAATGTATAAACACATGAAAGGATGAAGTCACTTCACACCAAGTAAGCTGCCTCTTTTCTTTCTTTTTTCCTCTCTTACAAAATTTACCATGAAAGAAGTCTAGACAGAGACATATTACTAGAAATTCACTTACAACTATGATTAATTTAGATGAATGAAATCATTCTCTCTCAATTTACTCTGGAATTTAATCTAAACTAAGTTAGATAATAACAATAATAATGATACAAGCTAACAATTGCATATCAGTTACCATCTGCCAAACATTGTTCTAGGCACTTATATGTATAAATTCATTTAATCTCTGCAAGAATCCTACAAAATCATTATGCCCATTTACAAAAATGAAACTATGGGCCAGAGAGATTAAATGACTTTGTTAGGTCACAAAGATACTCAATGACAGTCAGGATTTGAACACAGGCAGCCAGGATCCAGAGTCTATGTTCTTTGCAATGCTACTTTGTTTAGAAAGCCCTTGGACAGTTGCAAATCTGTCAAATATTCTGCAAGACATACATAAAACTGTATCAAAGGTTAATACATTAAAATAAGAACATACTGTGTAGGCTACTACAACGAAAAGCCTCACACTACAAAGTTAACTATATCTATTACCAGATTATTTCTATCATTCCTAAAATGTGAGCTTTCACAGTTTTAAAATTATTTGAGGAATTAAATCAGACCCACTACTTCCTCACATCACTAAGAGTTATATCACAAAAGAGATATAATGGTCATGAAAACTTAAAATGAATGCAAGTATTTAAATTTTGAATCAAAATAAGATCAAACATTTAAAGAATGCTACTAGAGATTAAATTTTAAAAAGAAACCTGTATTTCCAGAAGTGATTCTGAAAATATTTTTTGATTACCTACCTCTCCATGATTGAAAAAGAAGCACAACACTGTAACCAGGCCTCCTAGTCGGCTGCCGCTGAAAAAGAGGATACAAAAACATAACTCGAATAACAGAAATTCAAGTCAATCCTAATAAACCTTAAAATAATACAACAAGTTAACCTTACAGTACTACAGCAGGTATTAGCCACACTAGAACTCTCCTATGCTTATGTACATCTCCTATGCTTATGTACAAAATACTTCATTTCCTCCAAAGTATCATTAGTCAAAGTAAGTTTCATTTTGTAAAAATAATTTGTCATCTTCAAAATGTGTAGACTCTGAAAAGCACACAAACTAAAAAGGAATAAAAATTATTACTAGTCATATTATTGTGTATCATGCAACCTGATTTTTCTTTCTCTGCATTTTCTTTAGTACCACACATTTATCTATCCTTCAGCATTTCTCAAACTATTTTCCTTGGGACACATCCCATTAGGGAATGGGATGGAGAAGAAATACAGAAAAGGGCTCTATGATCATAAAGTTGGAAAACGCTACACTGTCTACCTGCTTTGGAAATTCACAAAATACTTCAGCACATTAAAGACTTAATTCAGTATTTCCTGAACCCTATCCCCAAGCTATTTCTCTGCAGAACACACTTGGCGAACACTAGTTTATAAAGTTGTATCTTTCATTTGTTTTCAAAAAACTGGAACATAACACATATATCAAAGTATGACAATCAGGCTTATAACTCTCGCTAAGAAATCACAATGGTATATCTGGCAGCTCTAACAATAAACTTCATTTGCTCAGGTAGGAATGAATTATGTTCCCTACTTTCTTCCAAGTCTGGGTAGAGGAAATGAGGCTGTTTTCAGGTTTGTTCCTGTTTGTTCCATCATTTCTTTCACCATTGGTCTTAAGGTCCTCTTACTCTCTTTAGCTCATACTGCTTTCTGATTATTCTACCCAAATACTTCCTTCTTTCTATCCATCTACGAGTACATGTATAACACAGAGAGGCCAGAGAGGAAAAAAGAACCAGAATGTGTAGGTATTATGGGCCTTGTATTTACTCTTGGGGCTGCATGTATGAGAAAAGTGTAGGAGATACAAGAGAGAACAGGGATAATCCATTTCAGGAGCACATAGCCCCTCCCCACCACCTCCAGAGGCAGAGACAGGTAAGGCTGGGATCCCACCACAGGTGGCCTGTTTGCCTTAGCAAAAGAAGAAGAGGAAGACTGATTGCATGTTTAGTAGCAAGCAGTTTGTGGAGTTTCCATTTTTCCTACAGAGCAGAGGCACAGTCACTTGCTGGTAGAGAGAAAAGGTGGCAGCATTAAAGGTTTGAGGAAAGAGGGTGATGTCTGAAATACCATGTGCATTTCAGGAAAGTGGTAACTTGGGAAAACACAAGGGCTGTGAGACAGCTTAGGGGAACAAAGGAGATTGCAGATCTCAGTTACAGAGTCACTAGCTGCAGGATTGCATGATTTTTCTCCACTGGTTATCAGCCTAGACAGGCACCAATGAAATATAAACGGGCAATGAAACTGAGGACATTGCCCAGAAAGTGAATGAAGTGATGGATCCCAGAAATAAGAAGAGATAAAGGAGCTAGAGAGTGGTATAGGCCAGAGAGTGGAAGTCAGGGTTCTCTCCTGAGAGGCATAGGATATCTTCTTCAGAAGAAAAGTAAACAGGCTAACCCAGGCTTCATCACAAGTGGTAAGACATTAGAATGGTTAAAGCAGAGTTAAGGGTTTAAAAAATAAATAAACAAATTTAAATATTTTGAGTACATTAGTTTATAGGATTTTTCTTGCCACCTTCCCCCAATGCTGTTTACTTAACATTTTTTCATGTGTCCATCCTCCCAAATCTTTCTTTATAACAATACAAACATATATTTTTAATGTGATATTAACAACCCTCTGAAATTTGCTCCTTTTCTAATTAATCTAGCATGAAGATTATTCCTAATCAATACATGTAATCTAAGACATTATTTTTATGGATGCCAAATATTGCACAGTACAAATGCACCACAATTTGTTCAGCCCTTTCCCTGTTATTGGACATACACATATTTTTTAATTTCTTGCTATAATAAAAAAATGTTAAGATAAACATCCTTGTGCATGTAAAAAATACTGGTGCTTTTATTTAGGGAGGACAGACCTAACTGTGAGACACCGGAAGTCAAAGAATGTAAACTATGCCAGGCAGCACTGTACCACCAGTCTGCACACTCATCACACTGTGTGGAAGGGATCCGTTTCTCTACCACTTTTGCAGCACCTGATGTGCTTTAAACTTTGCCCTTCAGATAGCTGAAAACTTTTTTCTCACTGCCTACTTGTATGGACCATCATTTTAGTGTTTTGACAATATGCATTTCTCTTCTGTGAACTGCCTACTCACATTCTCGCCTATTTGTCTATTCGATTTTCTGTTTCCCTATTTAAAGGATAGGGTCATCAAATCTTTGGCTGTCATATGTGTGACGAAGTATTTTGATATAATTTATGGTGTATTCTGCCACAAAGAATTTTTTAACATTTTATGTAGTTAATTATGTCGATACTTTCCTTTACTACTTCTGCACTTCCTGTCTTTTCTCTGAGGGTCTTCCATACCTCAAAACTAGTCTCCTAAAATTTCTTCTGGTATCATGCATTGCATTTTCCACTTAGATCTTTCATCTGTAGAACCCTATGTTTGTTCTCTTTGAAATAGCCAATTATGTTAATATCATTTATCAAATAAACATTCTTTTTACCACTGAAATGAAATTCAGCCTTTATCATATCTTAATCTCTTAAAATGCTAGAATCCATTCTATTCCATCCAACTGATTTAATTTTGTATTTTTTTGTGTCACATTTTTATTACTGTAGCATTATGGTCATTTTAATATATGATAAGGAAAGTTCCCTACCCCCAACTGCTCTTATTTTTTAAGATTTTTTAGGTAATTCTCACAAACTTATTCTACACATATCATCTTCATCTTAACCAATCCCCCCCCCTTTAGAAAAACACACACTTGGGTTTCTGATCAGAATGACATTAAATTTACATATAATTTGGGAAGGATTGTTATTTATATGATTGTAATTCAGCCCATTCAGTTGCATCATATGACGTTCTCTACTTATTCAATACTAACTGTATTTCTTTAAGTAAAAATTTTATGGCCAAGCAATATAACAGTCAAGTATCTAAAGTTAAAACTTCTAAAAATACAAAGAGAACATAATAAAATCTGATCAACTGATCCTAGTGGAATATTTTAATACTTTCAGAATTTTACAGGTCAAATAAGCTAAAGGAAACTATCAAGGATTTGAAGGAGATAATCAATAAGCTCAATTTTGGGAATATACATAGTATTTTGACTAGATAAAAACTATACATTATTTTCTTATGTCCCTGAACCACTTCAAGGTACCTCATTCTCTGATTACTGTCCAAAACAACCTAAAACACAAGAAAAATGGAGAAAAAACCTTTGGGAATTTAATGTAAAATTACTTTTTAAAAATTCCCTGGAACAAAGAGGAAACTGAAATTAATTAAATAACTTTAATTCTTGAAATAGCAAAGTAAACGTAGAGAAAGGACAAACGAGCCACAAATCCAACTCCCTGACTAAATCTCAGGATAAAGTTTACGTAAGAACTAAGCCTTATACCCTCACTCTGTTGCCATACAACCTGGGGGGGGGTCTGAGGTAGCACATTTTCCTGAAAGCAGAACCAGTGTGACAATATTCCCTTTTTACCAAATTACCAAAACACAAGTCTTGGCCCAGCATCTTCCATGAATATACTCAGCTTTGCTCAATTAACCAGGGAGGCAAATTTTCTGGTGCACTTCTGTGCACTGCAAAGCTAGAAGAGGAGAATAAAATTTGCTTATTCGCAAGCTATATTCTGAGTTACAATCACTATGAAATGATGTGATGTGAAATAAACATAAAACAGTGTCCCTAGTATCTACCTTCCTCCTACCCCAATCCATAGAGACTACCACATAAATCCTTTTATTTTGCTAAACACAAAAGATGCAATGACCAGAATACTTCAAATTGTTCTATTTTTTTCCATTATAGTTGATCATTTGATATTTCAGCATTCCTCAGTGGTTAAAAAAAAAGTCTCTTCTGCAATATTACCACCAACTATCAGAAAATATGAAAGTTCCTATTGTGCAAATTTTAAAACACTCTAAGATAACTAAACATTTACCACATTTATTCATATATCCCATTTACCCTTTGAACCTCAATTTCCTTAGATATAAAATGAGGGCTAATTAAAAATGAAAATTTAAAAGATCTTTAAAATACTTCCCAGTTGTATGGATTTAAAACAATCAGCAAATTTTTGATAGCCTTCATTAATCATTGAGATTTTTATCTCTATTTCCAAAAAAAAATGATGAAACATGCCAAGTTTAACTTTTGAAGAGAAAAAAAACAATCAAAAGCAACAATATTAAATAACTTAAGAGTTTTCTTATTGTTGTATAAATCCTTAAGATAGAGAAAGTGAGAGAATAATTTGAAAGCAACTGAATTAAGAGAATTTCCAATCTTAAATATAAGACATCAGCAATTGCCAGCCCAAGGAAGAAATGCCAAGGCAGGCCTGGTTCAGAGCTAAGAAACCTGCCCTATACTCAATGAGTAGGATTTACTTGTTACTAAGGAAAGAGATAGTGAAGATGAAAAAAGAGAGTGAGAATCAAGAAAGGTGATAAAAGTTCTTAGCTTGGTCCTCTCCAGTCTGTTATAAGCAATTAATTAATGCCTTTAATTTAACTCTTTGCCAGCAGTAAGAAACAGAATCTTTACTAGAATGTGAACTTCCCAATTCACCATGGTAGCTGCCAAGGTGCCTAGCACCAAGCCTTGTCAGGGGCAGATATCTGAAGGTATCTGAGGGGTACATGAAACATAATTACTAAGACTGCTGGCATTCATTTTCTGGAAGTTTGTAGCCAAACACACCATTCCTCACATCACTGTTGCCCTTGGGACTGGCCCAGATGTAAACTCCTGCTTGTCATCAG